TTTGGTATTAATAGTTGTTGCTGGTCTCTTCAAGTAAAAACACGAATTTGAAAAAGCTAACAGCACCTATCTACCTTATTTGCCTCAGACTAACTGCAGAACATCGTAAAGAATTTCTAGCAGATTGAAAGAAAAATTCTGGGCCAGAATTCCCTAGAGTGCAATTTTTTTTTATAAATTTTTCATTACGAAACTTTAGGACCCACGAAGCATGTTAATATAATATCTGTTGTATATTCCCTGCTCTTGTTTAGGGAAAAGCGCAGAGTACTTAATATTAGAAGCCAGAAGTTTATATATAAGAATTATTTAAACAACACCTTAGTTCCAGTGTTCAACTGTCCCTCTGTTCTCTCAAGGGATGGAGTTCTCTTGGAGACATTGAGAAGGCGATAGAGGCTTCAAAAATGTTGTCAATAATAAAAAGGAGAGCGTCAATAATGGTGGGCTTACATGCAATTGTTTTGTAAGTAGACCTGTGAAGTGTCGGTAAAAGTTGTGGATCAAAATTTTCAAAAGATATAGAGAAAGTTAGCTTGATAAGAACTTGCATACGGTACTTTTTTCATATGCTGCTTATTATTTACCATTGGATTTTCATAAGGACTTTATCATGTGTAACTGTTGAAATGTTTTACCTCCAAAAGTGTCACAAAAGGAGGGTGGAATTTAACCAGACATAGCTTTGTCGCTTTCTACTTCCTGACAGAAGACCATGACGAAACATGTGTTTTTCATCATGCGACCTGTAGCCCATATGGAGGCGTCGTGCTCTTATCAGCTGAAGTACCGCCTCTCAAAGTAGTACAAAATAGTGAGCATAACGTTCACTTTCGTCTTCGATGTTCCACTTAGTGTTGTTTCCCTTTCTAGTGCTCAGTGTTGTAGCAGAAATAATTTACGTTCAGGTCCTCTTCAGGTGAGAATCTCTTTTTGGGGCATTTTTCTTGTTGACTGACGCCATCTATTTAGACATGGAGATCGAGCTCCTTCAGATGCGTACCCTCTAGATCCCTATGGGGAGGAAGTCTGGCCTCGTGGTTTCAGCCAGTTGACAGAAAAAGGATATAGACGAGCTCAAGCACTGGGGAAGTATTTACGAGCTCGTTACAATGTTCAACATCGTCTTCTAGGCTTAAAGTCTCATAACAAAGAGGTAAGCTTTCCTAATTGATATGCTCTTGTCTTGTTTCACCTCAAATTTTGCTTCTATTAATTTATTTTCCTCTTCAGATTCGCGTCCGCTCAAGTGACAAAGATCGATGCATTGAAACTGCTATGGGTGTCATTTCTACTCTATTTCCTGCTGAAATAGTGCCAATTCATACTTATTCGAGCCATAAGTACGACTTGGTTGGTGATTACGCTCTAATAATATGTAAATTCTCAAAATAACAAAACATTCAACAATTTCAGCTTCTGAAACCAAGTAGTGTTCGGTGTGACAGAGCTAACATCTTGGTTTCCGGTGATAAGCGCAAACTTTATCAGAAGAGAAACGAGGAGTTCAAGAACCTATTCGCTTATCTCACTCACCACACTGGAATGCAAGTCTCCATGAACAATATCAAAAACATCTATAACACAGTCCATCGGGAGGTAAGCAACAAAATCTTAAATTAACATAAGAATTTCTTTTATATGGCTGAAAACAAATTTTGAATGGTTTCTGAACAAGGCTTCAGTGATATATCTTTTTGTGATTCTTTCTGAAGATAGCGCGATATATGACAAATAGTTGAAAAGTAAAGCTTAGAACTACTCCTTTTGTTTACAGTTGAAATCTATGAAGGTGTTTCTGCAGTAGAATCCCAGAAAGAGCACAGCAGTTCCATTTCCTTCTAGTATATCGCAACGGACTGAATGAATGTCTCTTGTTGCTCTTCACATTAATGCCTTACCCTTTTAAAGCTACAATACCGCTCATTACTCATATAAAAATTCGTCGCAAGCGCCGCAACGTCATTACTTATTTCAAAGCACATATTTCATAAGAAAATTAGTTTTAGACTGAGCTCGTCCAGACAAATCTTGAGTTATGCCACACTACAATAATTCCTACGAAGTACATGCCGTAGGAAATCATTGTAACGAAATTGTCTCGCTATTTTGCCTAGGCTTGGTTATATAACACTCCCACGCAAAGTTTTAGACGGATTTGCGATGTTGACTTCCTACCGTATCTACCGTATATCTTGGATGTCATTGTAATGTGGCATATCGTAAGGTTGACCTGGACGAGCCGAAATATGGAAAATGGAAATGGAAAATATCTAGAAAGAAGTTATGGCGATGCGTCGCTTGCGACTAATGTGAAATCACTTTTTT